TGCAGCGTTTTGATGACGACGCCACAGCTGCAAGAAGAGGTAACGAAGTGGTTGAAGGCGCAGGCGGCCGAATTTTTCGACGAAGGAATTTCCAAGCTCGTACATCGCTACGATAAATGCCTTAATTTGTATGGTGACTATGTAGAAAAGTAGTATTTGAGTGTGGCTTTCATCTGTATATAATAAAATTTGTTTCCTATACTTTGTTTATTTTTTTATTCCAAAACGTAATCTACTTTCTGGATAGCCCTCGTAGATGGCATTGCCATGTGCAACAAATAATTACATTCTGCATAACATACGGATGCATTAAAATATTTCAAATACTTGAATGTTTGACATTTTTTAATATTTAATAAACAACCAATGGTTTAACAGACAGGTGAGGAGGTATGGTGAATCGATCTTGGTTGGTGTGTTGTCTTTTCTAAAGTGCAGCATTTTGTTTTTTGTGTCTGCTTTTTCCATTAACCCTTTGATGCACGCTATATTATTTAAAAAAAATTTTTAACTAAAAACACTAGAAATCGAATATTATGATCCTAGAGACAAATAATATATGAATTAAAAAAAATCTACTCCCGCCCATTAATCTGTGGGTGGTGGTTTCGCTGTGAAACCAGCACGTGTCTAGGACTTTAAAACTTACTGAGTTAGTAGGGAAAAACAACTTACCTTTTCCCGTACAGCATTTCCAATAAATGGCAAAATTTGCGAATAAAAAAAAAAAAAAAAAAAAAAAAAAAAAAAAAAAAAAAAAAAACCTGCATTTAAGAATTGCATCAAATATAAATTTTTTACTTTATTTTACAAAGTATATCAGAAAAAAAATTATAATTTATGTAATTTTTCTGCAGCAGTGAAAACATAAGAATGTACATAATAAGGAAATTGGGATAAATAGATGGATAAAAGTCATAAATATATCCATGGGTTTTGCATCTTCCATAGAGGTAATTTTCGTCAGTTGGACCATAATCCTCAGAAAATTCGGGAATGGATTTCACTACATTCTGCATTTTATTCCATGTTACATCTGCAATTCTGGAAGGACCTGGTAAATTTATATCATCATTTTCTGAGTGATCATCACTTTCATCTTCTATATTTCCATAAGCAGGAGGGAAGGGGGGTAAAGGAGTATTTCCTTCTCCTTCACTTTCATCCTCAGAGACCACTGATTCTGGATCTGAAGGTAATTCTTCAAGTAACGCTAATGCATCAGCTATTTCTAACCCTTTGCAAGGCATTTTGAATCTCAACAGTAGAAAATAAGATATTGACAAAATATTTTAAATTTAATTAAATTTTTGCATGATTTCTATTTTTAATTATTCAAAAATATATTTGCAATTTTTTGGAACCACACAAAATAATTTAGAAAATCACAGTACTAGCATAGAGACCAAGCATGTTGAAAGCAGAGAAAAATCTCTGGAATGAAAAATATTTTATGGGGGCAGGTGCATGTATTGTTTGGTAATACAATAACTCTGTGATTTCAAAACCCCTTATCTATATCCGGGTGAAAACAATAAACACTTCTATTTGAAAGCATAAAAACATTACTGTAAAGAGCAGTGGTTTCAGGGCGCGACCACCGAGCCTCTAGGGAATATGAGCATTGTAATGCAATGCTCTAGTGGGGCAGTGGTCTTTGTCTTTGTTTTTTGGGGCAGTGGTCTTTATGTCTGAAACCACAAAAGGAAATATCATAAATATACACAGGTTGTTTATATATGCAGTTTAATTATTGCTGTATTTTTATTGTTTATGATAGAAATAATGATGTGTGATAAAATTTTTTTTTAATTTTAAGTTATTAATATAAATAAAAGGAAGTTATTTTGTCTCACTGAAAATGAATTTTAAAAGGCATCCGATTTAAAATACTAAGACCTAAAAAATGTATAGGTCTGCAGTAATTTTGCATTGTTTAGAAGTAAAAGATAAGTAATCAAGTGGTTTTCACTCAAACAGTTTGGAAACAAGAGCAGGAAAAATTTCGAAAATTAATGGTTTCAGGGCGCGACCACCGCCCGTCAAAGGGTTAAAAGATATGGTCAATAACTGTTCTTCTTTGGAAACTGAAAGTGGTTTATATAAAAAGAAATCTTTTGAAAGAAGAAACAAAGGAACTGTGTAATACTTGTGATGTCCAAGTTGAAAGATGACAGAGAAGGATGAAGAAAATACCTGGAGAAACTGTAGAGGATGTAGGTCTCACAGCAGGAAAAGTAATGCTTGATTGATGGACAAAATATACACAGAAATGAGAGACAGTTTCAACAGCTTGAATAAAGTGGCTTCTAGTTTTTGCTTTCTTTTAGACGTAAGTGAACTAATGTCTACAGGTAACAAAAATAGCTTGAAACAGAGTTGCATTTTCATAGAAAACTTTTATGATAGAGACTTGGATGATTTGAAGATATATACTGAAATGATGGACTGCCAAATGCTACTCGAGACAAGAGCTGATATTAAGCTTTTGATGGCTGAGAGCCTCCTTCATTCCAAATCTGAGAATAGGTCTTCAGCTTTTACTGAATATAGGAAACGCCATCGCCAGTTGTGAAAGATGTTTCTGTAAATTAAAACTTCTCTTGTCCTACCTGAGATCACCCATGACACAAGAAAGGTTCTCAGCCTTGGCTTTGCTCAGTATGGAGCAAGAGGTTACCCACAGTGTATCTTCTGATGAACTATTCGATAAATTTGCAGCAGCAAAGGCTAAAAAAAATTTCTCTTTGAAGTTAACAATTATATTAAAAGCAGTATACATCAAACTATTTTTCTTTTTCCTTTTTTACTTTATACTAAATTCATTTTCAGGTTATAATATTATTATATCCAATGTAAAGTTTAAGTTTTTATAATATTACATGTGAATAGTATTTTAAAGTAATCATATTTGCGAAGTGCTGTTATTGTCTTATTGATTTTACTTCATTCTATCTTTATAAATGTAGCAACCTTGAAAATGTATGCTTAAAAGAACTCTTAAAAAATTATATACTTAATAATTTAAAACTATTTAAATTAAAAATATGAAATTTTTTCTTAAAATATTATTATTTTCAATACATTAAAAAAAAAAATTCTTTTCCTTCCCCATTGTATTTTGGTGAACAAGAGGGGCACGAAATATTCACTTGTCCCCAGGTGCTGAAAGCCCTAGCTATGCCTTTGAGTTGTGCGCTTGTACAGTTTCAGTTTTTTTTTTTTTCTTGTGTATATGAAATAAATACAAGACAATTTCTCTTAGAAAGTCCTCCACAATGACATCCCACTTAAAGTGAATGGCCTGTGTATACATTTGTGTAGTTAAATATCTTAAAAATCCTCATATGTAAAACTATTCAATATTCTAATGAGAAAGATAAGAAGGCACTACTGTTCAGCCAAATAAATAGTATGAAATATTTTGCATAAAATGTTGCTTTTTTTCCCTCTTTTTTAATGTAAACAATACTCACTAATTATTTTTGAGTAACTTGAAGCTTAGTTGATATTATCTTTTCTCAAATACATATGGCTAGTATTATGTTGAAGTGAAGTTTATGTTATTGAGCAGGGTTGGCCAAACTTCATGTCAGTAAGAGCTGCACGTTTGAATTCAGGAATGTTCGAGAGCTGCATCTAGATTTTCTAAAAGCTACAAGTTCATATTTATAAAGTAGTTCATATATATAAAAGTAGTGGAGGAGGTTTTAAATAGAAAGAAATCCCTGATAACTTTGTAAATAGAGTCTAAACTAATTAATTACTTCTTTTTGGACACTGAATAGTTTTAGTTTATCATATTTCATACATATATTTTATATGCACGAGCTGCACAAATTGCCTGCGAGAGCCATATCAGAGTCGCGAGCCACACTTTGGCCACCCCTGTTATTGAGTCTATAAATAGTGAATAGCATTTTCATTCTTAATTTTCTAATAAAATCAGTCAGTTAATCAGTTCATAACTACCTAATAAAAATGTTTTAAAGATTAGTTAATTTGCAATTAGAATAGACTTTTTTTACCTCTTTATATTTTTAAAATTATTATTATTTATTGTTATCTGTAAGATACTGAAGCATAAAAGTTTACCTTTGGAAACAAGCATGTGCTGAAGATGCCAAAAATTAAATTCAGTTTCAGTTTGCTTTCTAAATTATTACATGAAGAAACATTCTGTTCTTGTAGGAGTTCAGACATTCATATTTTCCAATATCTTATTTATGATATTGATTCTCTGTAAGAAATATAATAAAATGGAACATATATGCACCACTTTCATTGGAGAAAGCTGATACTTTTAGTCAGTATTATTTTAAAAACTATTCAAAATAATTTACATACTCGGATGTAAAAAAAATTCTAATATGTTGAAACATTGTGAAAAGTAAAAACTGCCATTTTTATGTACTTAGACAGAATATTTCATACTTATGTAGATGCATAGAATATAATATGTGTTTTGAGTACTGTTCTGTTATCGGGGCCACATTGAGAAATGTATGTATGTATGCATGCAGGCAGGCAGGCATTGGATGTACATATATATGTATATGTGTGCATAAATTCATACATTTATGCATGCATACATGAGCACATCCATCCATCCATGCACATATACACGACATTCCTGAATCTGGTCCTGATAACAGAACAGTAAATTTTTTTTTTTTTTAAATTTTTAAAAAGAATCATGCAGTTTAGGTACAGAAGCTGTATTGTTTTAAATATTCCTATTAATTGGCCTGAAAGCATTAATTTAAAATTTAAAATAATTAATTAAAAAAATTATTTTAAATTTGATGTGTTATGCATGGAAAGAAGGTGTAAATAAAAATATTTTAGTCTAATATACGCATTTTTCTTAATTAGAGAACATGTAGGCAGATGTTTTACATTGAAATAACTTTTTATTCCATAATAAATATTTCATAGGCTACTTAGAACAATTTAATATGCATAAAATGTGATTTAAAGTATGTTTTATTGCATTTCAGGAACCTAAATAATGTTATTACAAGCATTCTGAAGTCATTTGTAAAGCCATATTCGAATCCATTAATATCTGATTTGATTGTATCCGTTCTAAAGGCTTGTCCAGACCAGATGAAATTTTATTTGCCATGTTTGAAAGATAGTTTTATTCCTAGGTTGTCAGTATTTTGGTTCCAAACTGTAACTTTAACAAAAAAGGTACATAGTTTTTTAAAATTTTTTATCACTACCTATATTATGTTTTTGTAATGTTACGTAGTGTGTAATAGAATTGGTGCTATGTATTATATTTGTAAGTTTTATATTATGTAGCAGATCTAGTAATTGAATCGTTTATAAAAATATAATTGTGGAAATACATAGATATATTTTTAATTGTGAAGGTAGCTCAACTTAAGTTGAGATATTAGTAGAAACTCTGGAAATAGGTTTTGGCAATTTCTCACCAATTTAGTGACATTCTAGAAGTTTTGGGAAAGCAATTTTAAAGCCCTAAGAGTGATTTTTTCTAGAGCTTCCAGAAGTGCTGGCAGTTCTATATATGTGACTGCATTCGATTCATGAAAATCAGTTTGGAGAGTTAGCTGAGTGTGATTGTATTGAACAGCTGTTTAGTCATAATTGCTTTACAGTTTACTCTGTGTTTGGTATTAATGATTTGTAACATTCCTGACATTGTAAGGGGAATTAGCCTTATCTCTTTTGTTATGCTTGAGTTATTTATGAGTTATTGATTTTGTTATGAGCTGTTATTCATTTTAATAAAGTTTTCATATCTTCTACTCATTTGCAACAATTATTACAGAGATTTTCATGAATTCGTAACTCACAACAGTAGTACGATTGATATTTTTAATAAGCTTGTAGAGACATTGGGTTATTTTGAAGCAAGAAATGAGAAAAATTAGCAATGCCCTTGCCGGGACTTGAACCACGGACCTCCCAAATTTGTGCCAAGTGTGCTGACCACTATACCACAAAGGTATGCTAACAAGGCGGGAGAACTACCTTATATACTGCACCTTTTAAAGGGCGACTGGGGATTAGGGGATCCAATCGCCAAATCCTGGTAGTGGCGAATCATCATCCACCACCATTTTTAGTTTGGGCTCCACTGTAGAGACATTAAGTTATTTGGAAGCAGAAACATGAAAAATGAGGAATGCCCTTGCCAGGACTTGAACCACAGGCCTCTCGAATACATACCGAGTGTGCTGACCACTACACCAAGAAGGCGGGAGAAATACCTTATAAGGTGAAGAACATTAATAAATTATTTTAACATAATAATAAATATGCAGACATTATTAGGTTAATGGTAATCATAAGCATGATGGTAAAAAATCAATCTTTGAAACAAATTATTCAGTTGAATGATTTAATGAAGTGGATTAATTTGATGAGAATCATTATCATAGGTCAAACTACTGTATCATATCTGATAATATCATTATGTAAAATATGACAATTGAAAGGAGGCTATTTATGTAATAGGAGTTCAGATTTTATAATTAATCAAACTCTTCTGCAGTTTCTTTCTTTTACTGATAAGAAGACAATCCCATGTACTCTTCTGAAGAAATACTTGCTAATAAGCTTATGTAGAATATTTCTGTGATCTGTCTCCAAACTTGGAACAATCTACTATTGTTCAATAATCTGATTCTGTACCCCTCCTGAAAGGGAGACTGGATTTAATGATATTAGTTTTTTTCTTTATAATTGCCTCTAAAATTCTCAATTTTTTTTAAATTTCTGAATTTTAGATTATTCTCTCTCAAGAACCAATAACCTGTTTGTTTAAAACTGATGAGAAAATGCCTTTACCATCATTAGCAACGATTGCTAAAATGTTATGCTTTCCAAGCCTTATTAATCTTTCAGAAATCCAGAATGTCTTTACAGTAAGTGTTTTTTTTATTAGTGTTTGTTATATATTTGTTTGCTAAAGTGGTATAGTATGTTTATTAGCAGAAAGTTAACACTAGTGGTATATGAACACTTTATTATAAAACAGTACTAGTTTTAAGAACTCATTAAAGAAACTCATTACTAATTTTATTAATTGTATGATAGATTTACTATACTATATGTTTTTACAGTTCATCTTAGAATTTAATTTTCAATGACAAGCTTTTATCTCAAGAAAATTCATAAATTCATTTTCTGATCATCAGTAAATTTCAATTTGTATTATATTTCATTTGTATTGATTTTAATAAAAATTATCTTTCATCCTTCAGTTGAATGTTTGTGTCTACTATTGTTATCAATCCTTGCTAGTGTGATGTTTTATTAAAGGTTATCTTAAAATGAAACTTTCCAAGAGTTTAAAAATTGTGCGAAATATATTTTGCGGAACATTTTTATTCAGCGATTATAAAAATATGTGAGGAAAGCTGAAAATTTATCGAATTCTTTTTATTTATATTTTAGGCATTTGAATTTAATACCATTTTGTATGAAGGAATACCCCAAAATAACCAAAATAATTTTTAAGCAATTATATACGAACTTATTTTTAATCCTTATTCAAAAAGTTCTCCACCATCATATCTACACTTTTCGTAGCATTTTCCATTGCTGGAAATGCAGAAATAGTTCTGGAACTCTTCACATGAAATATTTTTCAAAGGAAGACAATGCAGTTTTTGCGTCTTAACCACACTGCTGAATTGCTTTTTGAGAGCTTTGGGTTGGAGGCATCTTGTTGTTCTTTCTCAAGTCTTCATCTGCTCATTTGTTCTTTTTGAATCTGGAAAACTAATCATACACCTGTCATTTATTCAAAGCATCATATTTAAAAGTTTTCAAAAGTAGGGCAGTAGTCTTAGCTGCAGTTTTCTTCAGTAAAAAACAAAAATTCAAGCACATATTTTCTTCTTTGTAGTCACTCTCAAAAGTGACAGACTGACTGGTGTGAGCAGGATCACATAAAAGTCAGCCACGAGGATGATCTGCTGCACTCATACTGATGCCACTTGGTAAATAGATGGTTGAAATCCTACACTAATAAGGCCTAGTGGCATGATATATCATTATAAAATACTCATTTGCAGTGTTGTGATATCTACTTATTTTTCAATTACCTACATACCACTGCTAACATACAGTGCAAATCCATGCCTAAACTTTTCATAGCATTTTGTGTGTGCTGGCATTCTATACAAAAATTGCTTTATTTCTTTTGACACCTTAATTTGTGATTACATTTCTGTATTTAGTAACCTGTTTCTTTCCTAAACTTAATAATTTTGGTATTTTATCCACATTCCCTCCAAAAAGTCACAAATGTATTTGCAACTTTAGACAAAAACCTTTGTCTGGGTATCTTAATATTTATTTCGGCAGTAAATCCAGTTCCCCCCCTTTTTTTTTTGAAATTATTCTTTTTTTCATAAAAGATATGCATATTTCTCAGTTTTTCATGCTTGTGTTTTTGCCATGTCCATAGCAATCTGATTTCTCTGTTGTATATATGTATATAAAACAGATAATTGAATGAATTTGATATTGTGCACAATTTTGACATTAAAAAGTCATAAAGTGAGAATGAAAAAAAAAAAAAAAAAAAAAAAAAGAGATGCACAGTACCTTTAAGCTAGGCCACATTAGCCTGTATGCATGCAAAATCTAAGTCCAAGATTTCACCAAAGATGATGAAAATTGCAGTGTGCAGTCCACTGCTATGCTTATGATCTTGAGGAATTTCTTAACGGATGTGAAATTTCTCTAAATTTTATAGAGAATAGTACTAATAATTGAATCTTTTCAATTTTGAGTCTCTTCGAATGAAATGTATTAGTAAAATTTGAGGTTTTTTTAGTGTTAGATATTTTAACTTTCTAAAAGGATAATTAAAGAAACAAAAACTATATTCATCGATCAAATGCTGTATTTGATGAATAATTTGATTTTGAAGTATTAAAGTAAAATTTGAAAGAACAATATGCCAAATAACAGTTTTTCATAACAGATTTAAATTTTACTTTTTTTTTGCAAAAAGCACTGTACTTTTTCTTATGATGAACATAAATGAAAAATTTTTGTCAATAATACAGTTTTGTGTTTATTAATTTCTTTTGTGCTATGTTTTATATCATGGTTATAATTTAGATTTTTTAAAAAACCGTTTAAGTTGTAAATGTAATATTTTCTATTAAGAATTCAAATTTTTATTGAGTTTTTAAATTTAATTAGAAAATTGTGTTATAGAGTATTGTTTAATTTTTTAATGCAGATTTTTCTGTTTTCTTATTTATTTTATTTGTAGTAATATCAATATTGATAGTTTTTACTGTTGAGAAAATCTGCATTTTTGCTGTTTTCATCTTTTACTTTTATTTTTCACAGAATGAACATCACCTTTTATGCCATTATTTATGTGATTTTATATCATGTATTCTGAAGCAAGCAAAACTTATTGTGGATTTTTGTTCTCATGGTCATTTTTCTGAAACTCCATATTCTGCATCTGATATGTCTGTATTTCATCAGTCTTTTTTGTCTTCAATTTTCCAGGTTAGTTTTTAATTTTATTTTTATTAGTCTCTCTCTCTCTCTCTATATATATATGTATACACACACACTGAATATATATATATATACAGACACAGGTATAGAAAAGGGTAAGCAAATAAAGTGCAAAAAAGACTTTCAAAGCCATAATCCTGTGCCTTTGTGACTATGATTGACATAAAATAATATGTTAAATATGCTAAATGACTACAAAACAAAAAAAATGACAACAAATTTATGAATTTATAAATTGAAAACAAAAGTACGAAATATTGTAAGAAATAATAAAATAGATACAAATTTAGTGGATGCAAGAAAAATATTTAATAACCTTTGATTGTGATTGAAATCTGAATGAAAATTTGTATTTTAAGTCTAAATTGAAATAATAATAATAAAAGAGGTAACCTTTTAGCACTGTCGGATTCACACTTTTTTAGGATTGGAAAATCTAATACTGATACAACAACTATATTTAGCTCACTAGTCATGTTTCTGCTTATCCCTGAAATAATGATAATAAAAGAGATAACCTTTTAGCACTGTCAGATTCACACTTCTTTAGGATTGGAAAATCTAACACTGATACAACAACTGTATTTGGCTCACTAGTCACGCGTCCTGATATATCATTTGTAACCTCTTATTTGTCACAATTTAATCATGTACAAGAAAAAGGGCATTATCTTTTGGCTAAAAGCATATTAAAATATTTAAAAGGTACAAAAAATTAAAAACTTTTCTATATCAATGATTTTGGAATTTTAAATGCATATGCTAATGCTAGCTGGAGAAATGCAGAAAATGGTAAGTCATTTTCTGGTAGTACTATTTTACTAGGTGATTCATTGGTTTCTGGAAATGTTGTAAACAAAGAAATGTTAGTCTGTCTACTTGTGAAACAGAATTATTTTCTGTTTCTGAAATTTGTAAAGATATTATATGAATTGTAAATTTATTATCAGAATTAAGATGTAAACAATTTTTGGATGGTGCATGGATTAACTGTGCCAGATCTTTGACGAAATCCAGACACATGAACTTACGTTTCCATTTTATGAGGGACTTAATAAAAGACAATGTCATTAAGTTGGAATATTCACAAACTGATATGATTGCAGATTTTCTTACTAAGAGTGTCAGTGAAGAAAAGATTAATGTATACAATGAAAATAATTTCCGTAATTTGTTAAATGTAATGTGTTATTTATTGTTTGTATTTCATTTTTGTATTGAAAAAATGTTGCTCGCAGGAGGGGTGTGTTGGTGGCTAGAGGCGAGCGAACTTTTTTTCTTATGCGCATGCATATTAATTATGCTGGCGCAGCTCTCTCTTCTCCCAACACATATGTCATTCAAGCATTGGAGATGGTGATATCTTGTACTGTGTGATCTTTTTCTTCATTATTTGTGTAAATAAAGTTTGTTGTCCTAAATCGATAGCTTCCTTACTCTAAATATAGGCCTCTGAACAACACAAACATTAAATTAGAAGTCAAGCAACAAAAATCAGCATTATATTTGCAAAATTTCACAGGACTAGTTTCAACTGTTTTACCAAACCATCATCCTCAGCTGCCAAAGCGCAGATGAACCAGATAAGATATAGTGATAAGATAAGAATGGCTGGGCAAAAATTAAGCTACTGACAGCATCTATTGATGAAACAAGAACTAAAACATTATTTCCTTAAAGGCGGAAAGCAAAGATGGATTGGAGTTAGGGTCGTTAACTAGAACAGAAAATTTTTTTGAATGTGAAACGGCTCTAGAAAATCTAATTCACCAGTGGAAGATGTTTTTTGAATAATTTTGGCTGCAGAAAAATTGAAAGTGTGATTTTTGGACCAACAATGCTGGGCAACAGAGGACTTCTGTGTTTCCTTTTTTCTAACTTTCTGTGTTTTCTTTTCTACCTTGACGTTTTACTGAAGTGTAAATGTAAAGAATTTATAATAAAAGTGTAAACTTTTTCAATGATACTCTTTCACAAACACTATTAAATTACCAATGCAAATTTTCACTTTACAATGTCAACAACACTCTATAGAACCTCATATATAAGCGATTTTAACGTTGTCCAAATTAACCTCCAGAAATCCAAGGCAGTGACGTCGAACATAGTTCAGACTTTTAACAGAAATTAAAGCAGATTTTATTCTTCTACAAAAACCTTACTGCCTGAATGGACAAATAAGTACAATTCCAACAGCATGGAACTGTTTTCACTACTCATCTCTAGACAAATCAGAACAAGATATCTAGACAAGAATCGGAGTATCAAGAATTTGTACAAATAATTGGTCCCGAGTAATCATCCATGCAGACAAGGACATCGTATCTCTTGCCTTAAATAACAAAGATAAACAGTTTATCATTACTTCATTTTATTCATCTCCAATAGAAGAAATTGGTCCTACTCTAGAAAAAGTAACCTCCATTCTGAACAGTAACAATAAAGCATACCACCCCATAGGAGAAGATTTTAACACTCATAGCACAATATGGGGATATTTGACATATGACACTAGAGGTGAATTATTGGAAGACTTCATTTCTTCTAACAATCTTCTTATTCATAATGATACAACGGCCCCACCAACATACAAGATTATTCATGGTCGTGGTTGGCCAGACATCATGCTCTCATCAATAGGACTTGCGAATGCAATAAGAAACTGGAGAGTTCATAAAATGGACTCAATATCGGACCATAAACTAATCTGTTACCAACTCAACTTCAACAGTGAAATAACTACAACCATGCGCATCAACATTACCTCCAATTCCAGTAAAAAATTCATTACCTTGTAAGGATCTTAAGTTTTACTAATGTTTATTTTATTTTAAATCTTTACTATCACTTCTTATTTTCTACTTCCGGCCAGAATTATAAGCGTTAAAGTATTTATGCAAAGTTTGTCTGGCGAACGCCAAGTATTTAAGTTGTGGCTTTTTGCCAAGCGAGAGAGAGGAAGCAGTTAGTCGAAGCAGGCCGTTTACCTTAGAAGTTTTACTCAGTTGCTGTTGCCTTCCAGGCCAGAGGTTTTAATCCTCTTGATAATTTTTAAATGTATTGTAGTGTTCTCAGTTATCTGTACTACATACGTCTTCCTGTTAATATAAGGCCAATCTTCCACGTTTATTATTTTAAAGTTAAATTAGAGTTTAGTTTTATTTTTATACTTTTACGTTTTGACCCCAAGTAGCGGTCTGTGTATTCCGAAGTACGGAAGTTATTGTAAATAGAGAAAAATAAAGGGTTTTGTATACCCTTCTTGTGTATCCTGTCTACTTCCCACAGTTTTGAACATAGCTTTAGTAAGCTCTCTGTTCCGAGTCAGGTCCTTGCATGTTCCCGAAGAAGGTTAGACGGAACATTGAACCTGATAGTGGCGCCCAACGAAGAAGAATAACTGTGGCCGAGTTTCAAGAAGAACCTGTGCTGCCTGCAAAAACAGCTCAGAATCCAGAAATGCCAGCTGCCGCCCTGGAAGGATTTGGTTACATCGTCCAGACCATGCGCGCTTCGATGAAACCAGAAGCAACATTTAATGGAAATTCACCGGTAACCAGTTTTTTGGAAAAATTGGATGACCACTTCATGCTCTACCCCGTGCACGAGTTTCAAAAAGTTACCTTAGCTACCAGCGCTTTGAGGGGCCAAGCGCTTAATTGGTTCAAATGTATAGGCAGAAGTCTCTTGGGTCAAGCAGGAAGTCCCACCTATACTTACGAGAATTTCAAGACTGCCCTACTAAAAGCCTTCCCTGTCGTAAGGGATCGTGCGAAATTAGAAACGGAACTTTTTAGTATATATCAACAAAGAATCGAAAACCTCTCAAGCTTTATTTTAAGAAAAATTCACGTCTTCAAACTCTTGTATGGATCCGTCCGGATCCTGAGATAATTCAAGTCATTTTGCCGAGGTTACTGCCCCAAGTGCAAGACTTTATTGAATTAAGAAATCCGACTACACTGGAAAAGTTATTTGAGCTAGCAATCCAGTTTGAAAGTAGAAGAATGGCGGACGCTGAAAGAAGACGCCAATATCAACAGCGAAACCAATTTGGTGCGCCAAGACTACAGCAAACTCAAGCACGGCTACGGAAGCAAAGCGAATCAGTGGGCAAGGAAACCCGAGCATTCAAAAACAGCCGGCGAACGTCGACAGTTCAATAGCAATCCAGGAAAAAAGTCTCAAGGCCAGGGGAAAAAGAAGGAAAGCACGGAAATGAAAATAAGTTAAAAACTAAAACGGATTTCTGCTGACGAGAGGGTGCGGAAATCCGAAGGACACGAAAACCCCTCTTCCTTCAAGTTAAATACAGTAATGGTGAAAAATTTGACTCTCTCTTCGAAGATTGAGTGTTGGTGAATAATATCCCAGCCACCGCACTCCTGGATACAGGCGCACAGTGTTCCTGTGTGGCAGAAGATTTTTTTAGGAAGTGCTTTTGGAAATACCGCATATATAATTCGGATAATAAGACAGTGTTAGCGGCGCAAGGAGAAAAATGTAAGTGCGTTGGTAAAGTACCGCTGTATGTAGTAAAGAATCTGCAAGCACATATAATCTTAGGAATAGATTTTCTTTCAGATGCACAAGCAACGCTGGATTTTAATGAAGCGTCCCTTAAGCTGACGATGAAACCAGTTCGTGCAGAAAAGGCTGAACCGCCGATGTTAAATCTTGACCACCTGCCTAATGACGAGCAAGGAAGAATCCGACAAGTGGTAAGTGAATTTGCTTTGCTTCGTATTTAGTGATATTCCAGGATTTACTCAGGTTACTAACCATAGTATTGACACCGGAGATTCAATGCCAGTTCGCCACAAAGCATACCGGTATGATAAGAATAAGGAAAAAATTATAGAATGGCATATCACCGATATGCTATATGTAAAAAGATCATAACGCCCATCTCAAGTAGTTATGCTAGCCCGGTGGTTTTATGTAAGAAAAATAATGACTATCCTTTGACACATCCAAAAAGGTGGAGA